AACCCATCTTGGGGGTACAAGCTAGGTGCTTGAGGATAAGTGGTAAGTTAAAGGTCCAACAGTGAAAGCCTTGAAAACATTCGCCCCAAATCCCGGAATCCTTCCATAAATGAATGCCCAAAATGCCAAAGCCTCCCACACCCCCAAGTGTCGACACTTTTCCAACCTTCTCTTTTGCCCTCCAACTCTACTTGGAGGTACATAGGCCAGTCCATGGGTACCTGTAAACAAGTTGTATAGAGACCCTGGGCCCCTTAAAATGGTAATTTTTGGGCTTTTAACTGCCATCATGAGTTGGTTATGCCTCATTGCCTTGAACCTTGAAGCCTAAACTTTCCCTAAACCTTAACCTTGCGTACTGCCCCCCCAGTAACTGTCTATATTAAGGGTCCTAATTATTGAGGGCAATATATAACCATATCATAATTAGTATCCAACTGTTACTGAGGGGGGGCAGTACCCACCCTAAACCCCAAACCCTAAACCCTAAATCCTAAACCCTAAACCCTAAATCCTAAACCCTAAACCCTAAAGCCTAAACCCTAAACCCTTAGAACCCTAAACAACCCTGTACTCCAAATACAGGTCCTCCAGGAGCTGCCTCGCTTGCCAAAGCAACTCGATCTCCCGGTCAAAGTCCCCGAGCCTAAGGCCATTGTCGTGCTTAAGGACCCAGGTCCAGGGTTTGGTTTAGGGTTTAGGGTTTATGGTTTTTTTTTAAAGGTTTAGGGTTCAGGATTTAGGGTTCAAGGTTCAGGGTTCAGGGTTTAGGGTTCAAGGTTTAGGGTTCAGGGTTCAAGGTTTGGGGTTCAAGGTCTAGGGTTTAGGGTTTAGGGTTCGGGATTCTATAGGGCTCCGGATTTCGGGCGTGAGGCTTACGGACCAGGGTTCGCCAGTGCTGTTGGCACCCCAGGCAATTGTTGCAAACACTGGGAGGTGGGGGGGCACAAACCAAAAACGCAAAATTGAGACTGGGCCTCAGAAAGTAATCTAAAATATAAAACCATAGCCCTATAAAAGTTACACATTTCATTGTTAATTTGGCTCTTTTTGTGCACTTTCTTTGTGGGCTTCCTGGGGATTCAGTTGGAGAACCTGCAGTTCAGAATGCAAAAATACAATTTAAGGTGTAGGTTGTGGATTTTGCAGGTCTCGCATTTTTTGCAATGTTGTTTGGCTTGTGGGGTTCCTGTGGCCCTCCAAGAGCTTCATTTTGGGCGCCTTGATTTTGCAGGCCTTCGGGCCTGAGCATGCCAAAAAAACAGAACATGTGTTTTGCATGTTGTTTGCATCTTTTGCGCGTCTCTAAAAATGTTCTGAGGGGCCTCCTGAGGCTTCGTTTTCATCGGGCATGGGCTTCAGGACGAAAAAATGCAAAACATGCTTTGTGCCGCCTAAACCCCTAGCCCTATAAGCCAACAACTCTACCCTAAAGCCCTAAGTCAAGGGGATAATATGATCGCCTATGTAAACACCTTTCCGTCTCTCTTGGGGCTGCATTTTGGGGGCTGGGTGTCCTAGACTCCAAAAACACTCAAAACCTATGTTTTGCATATTTTGCCTCCTGCAGTCTTGTGGAGCCTAAAGCACCAGAATGCAAAACTTAATAATAGTAGTAGTAGTAGCAGCAGCAGTAGTAGAAGTAGTAGTAATTCTAGTAAAACTAATATCAGTAATTTGAATAATACTCATAATAGTCGCAATTCTAGTAATATTAAGAATAACAATATGGGTAATACTACTATCACAGCAATAACTGTGGTTCGCTCTGCTTTTGTTTCTTTTTTGCTTTCTAAGGTTCCTGGGCGTGCTAGCTTCGTTTTGGGTGCCTGGGTTCTCAAATGTGAAACCTGCAAATGCTTTGTATTCCCGCATGGTCTAAGAAAATTGGGAACTAGAAATTTACTTACGCCTTCTTGGTCTTCATTCCCATGTCTTCGTAAACCCTGAACCCTAAACCATCACATCACAAGTTTTGACAAATTCATTCGACACGGCTTGTACCGTAAAGGGACCAGGCCGATCCGCTACATAGGCAGCCATTTAAGGCGCAGTCGGGTGAGGTCACAAAAAATTGGCCAGTGAAATTTACAAGGCTGCTTCAAACCAATCCCCTGCTGTCATCATGGACATTCCCGACGCCCCAGACCCTCTACATGAGAGCACCCCCCCCCCCAAAGATAAAGATGGCACCGTTCCATCCTGGATGAGTATTTCTTCTTCTGATTGCTATTATACTTCTTAGGGGATGGGGGGTCATTTTTAGGTAGAGGAGATCATGGTCCAGGAGCTTGCAGAAACATCGAGCAGCGCGCTGCAAGACCGAAGCACCTGCCAGAACTTCCCTAATGGAAACTACCATCTAAGGTTAACGAGGATTATAGTATCATGGGGTCTATATTGGGGTCCCCTGTCTTGGGAAACTACCATATCCTTAGCGATGTACAGGGTCATAAAGGATTCTGGTGACCCATCTAGCGGATTATAGAGGAGTGGTATTCAGGAGTGGTATTCAAAACGCCATCTTAAGTGTGGCAACTATCCCCGTCATTCTTTGGCATAATTAGCACTCCATCCAGCGCTCGTGTAAGTTTCATGCATAATCATCAAGAAGCGTATGACCTTCAACCATTTCTTGTGTCATATTTTCCTCTCACCGACGTTTCCAAACAGATTTCTGATAGGGTATAGGGGGGCTTAGGGTTTAGGATTTAAGGTTTAGGATTTAGGGTTTAGTGCCCTTGCAAGCTTTGTGGTCAGTAGGGCTCTCCCAAGAAATTCTATGTTTTCGTGCGCAGTTCCGGTGACTAAAGTGTTGAACCCGCTGTTACCACCGCTGGCTGGCAAGATGTTGCCATCCTGGCGCATCCTTGCAGCCAATAATGTTTGGTTCACTAGGTTGGCCCCTAAAACCAATTGAAACATATTAGCATATATGGTTCCCTATTAAGGCCATTCAAGAAAATATTAAACATCCCAGGGGCCTACCCAGTTCACTCATCCTGGGTCCTTGCCGGTAGTTTCGTGGCTTGGGCCTGGAGGGTGCAGGGACGGAATGGAGGATTGGTGGACGCACTACTGGCACTTCAGTTTGTGGCCATGCTCAAGGACCCACCACCGTCTTGCCTGTGCGCTTTGGCGTCTGCGCGGGTGGTGGGGATTTCGTGGCTGCATTCCTGAAGTGTCCAGTCTACGGTGCCTTGAACTCTGAGTCGTAGGGTTGCCGATGACGCTTTCGGAGGCTCCCCTGCGATGGCGAGGGGGACGGTATCCTGAGGCCGCAAATCCCTGCTGGTCGACCCCATCCAATATCCATGAATCCAGAAAGTGTTGTAAACTTACTCGTTCTTGGTTGGGAATGAGGGCATATCATCCATACGTCACATATTCGCATATTTCCTACTGAGCCCCAGTAAGTAAGGTGCTTGGATACTTGGTGGAAACCGGGCAGAAGGTTAGGACCCCCAGGCCGGGAATCTTAGCTGGGCTCTAGGATACCTTTTGGAGACTTGTAGAGACTTAGGTAAGCATTCTACGGGCAATCGCAGGTCGAAATTAGAAAATGTTAGGGTTTAGGGTTTAGGGTGTCAAGTCACAACCCAAATTGGTTTGGATTGTGCTCCAATTCGCAATCCCATCATACCCCTAACCTAAGCCCTATTCCTTACAAGAACCTACATGGTCAGCCAACTACTTGGAGTGCCGTGTTACTCATAACCTAGTCCTCGAACCCAATGATAAGCCGTCTAAGCCCCCTGAGTAGGGTTGTAATTGGGTATAGTGACAGTTATAAGGAGGTTGTAAGTAGCACGCTACTGCTACTTCAAATGCTAAGTCTTACGCAGATGCAAGTTGGTTAGTGGCTCATCTCAATAAGGAACCCGCAGCGGCTTGCTTTAGACTAGCAACAACAAATGCACAGTCTACACGTAAGATATGAGCAATAGTCTAAACTCCTAGCGTCCCCCTCGAAAACCCTTATAGCAGTCCCCTATAAAACCCCCCCATATACCTCCCTTTAAGGCGTTCAGACTACTACAGCTCATATGGGGTTTCTGTAGATGTGCGCTTTTCCACCAGACCCTTCTCATCTACAGGAGTCGCCTTGTGGGGTCTGGATCGCGCTGGTTTTCTGGAGGATGTCAGCACTCTCTTCCTTGCCGCATGCCATCAGACAACTTCACAAGAACATACACCGAAGACAAACATGCGACGGCAACGCAGGCCCTTTGCGGCCCAAAACTGTCGCTTCTGAGGGCGCTTTCAGATTCCAGGTTTGTTTTGGGGAGAAAGCATTTTAAACCAATTGCACCATTCTCCTGCAGCTTGTGTCTAAGGCACACGATACTCTGATCTAGCGAGAACATGACATTTCCGGCATGCCTCTGGCTGCAGGTTATGGACCCGCACGATTTTTCTTAGCCCACATTACCCTAGGAAGAAAAAAGGATCCTTTTTACCTAAATATAAGGAATCCCATACACCCAAAAGTATAAAGGATCCCTACCATTGATCCAGTTTTGTATCGGTGGTGTACCATGTGGTACTGGTGTTTGCATTTCTCCACTGCGCACTGCGCAGGATATGAACACCTAACTCTACCCACACTAGCACTAGCGAAGCCACTTGATGATGCCTCTTCTCGGGCCCTACCAGAATGGGATATTGGACCCTAAAGGGCCCGTAATCTACCCTTATGAAGCTACTCATAGGGAATTTTGGGTCTGAAAGCCCATACTGTACACTGGGCCATGGGGGGTTTCGTCCCTCTGTCTAACAATAGCAGCCTCACTGAACATAAGCTGCCTGGCTTATGAATGGTTCGTGCCAAGGACCCATGCCTGCCAAAACCAGCAAGCGGCAACCCACTAGCATTTTCTGGGAACGAACGTTTACAACACACATTTCAAGTGGTCGCGTCTCAGATCAACAGTGCCAACTGCACTCGCTCATGTGAAGTCAGCAATGTCTGAGACTGGTTTTGCATAGTGCCAAGAAGCGAATTCAGCAATGGCCGCATGAAAGTCTCCAAGCATGAAATGGCAGACCCCAAGCTGCTGTAAGACATAGGCCCCATGAGGGGTATTCAGCTGCCCCAGCTGAATGCGGAGATTTTTCGCCTCCTGGAGACCAGGGCTTAGGGCAGCCTATTTAAAATGCTCAGCTCTCCTTACATGTTGAGCTGGGCAACCGACCCAAAAGATACACGGCTTCCGTGTAATGATCACGTCCTCAGGAAATTCTTCACAATCCGTGAATCACAGGCGAAACCGTACGAAACCCTGCCGGATCCTACAAGTGCCGTCTGAACAGGCACAACCCGAAGCGTCTGCTTCCCTTCCCCTGATGCTGACGCCTATCCGCTTGATGGAACGTGACCTTCCATCCAGGCATGTCACGGCAATACCACAGAAATCCAAAATGCCGCTTCTTTTCCAGGTAAGCAACTATACCTTTGTTTACGCTCGACCCACTATGCTCATAGTGACCGCAAGATGTACTAGGGCCCCTCCATACTCATGCTACTGTTCTTGGGGGGCCTAACCTAACCCAACCTATACCTTAACTGGACCCCAGACCCTGTAATAGTTGTATTATTGGAGTATAAGAGACCCTACTATAATTACTAGTATCCCTGTCGTCACTATACAGGGTTGGGGGCCTAACGAACCTCTACACCTTACACTCTAAACCCTAAAACCCTAA